ACTATAATCTTTGGGATTGTCCATATCGAATCTGACACCCTGTATAAGATACCATATGTATCATATATGATCGTGTATGATAATACGTTTGTCATATATGACAGTATATATGACAAACATGTGCATCATATATGATCGTATATGATAATGTATTTGTCATATATACTGTCATATATGACAAACACATTATCATACACGATCATATATGATACATATGGTATCTTATATATGGACATTTTTCGTATATGAGCATATATGATTATACATATATGATCATATGTGAAAATTTTTTCCTGGGGTCAATTAACACAAGAGCAATATGTTAAATTAACGCACGAATGTGTTAAACATTTAACACAAAAATTTTAACCGGCATTTTTTTTAACAAGAAAATACAAACTTTCCAATTGTGTACGTCTACTCGCATCTCGATTTCAGTAATCTCATCAAACTGATTAATGTCTGATTCTCACTATGGCGTACACCTGACGACACTAAAGATACACTGCAGCGTCTGGCTTAATCGTCGGTAAGCGATCGCTTGGTCGGTGATCTCTCAATCTCGATACTTGATCATCTCCGAGAGATGATTTAAGAGACACAAATCGGTGATCTGTTGCAGGATATTCGCAGATATTTCAGAAGCGATGGATGGCGATTGGAAGGACTGCGAGGCTGATTTGTGCGAGTGCGTGATGACAGACAAGGCTAATTGGTGCATCGCTGCTCCAACGGTATGGTATGCGTCAATGTTCTCGCCACTTTTTCGTATTTTATCGATAGGCACATACGTGGACGTACGGTTTCCAACAGCGGACAACATTTTACAAGTTTCCGATACAGATACAGTTTCCGCTTGAGATGTACAAAACGTACATTTACGGACTCGCGGGTGTGAAGTTGTTCTTATATGTGTCCGAAACGGGGATCGGAATGGCGATGATGAATGCCTTGATCTTAACGATGGTAAGTTACGAGATAGAAGCCATTGCTTCTTTAGCTAAATGTATATAAGATAAGATTAATGTAATAGTATTAAAAGCACGGTCTTTAGCTGATTAATTAAAGTTCTCGTTAGATATTCTCGAGCTCTGCTTGAACCTTTACATTTTTATTAGCCTAGTTCGAGATTGGTCTTCGTTTCATCGGCATGTGACCAGACTCGGCTCATCCAGATCTTTCTTGGTTAAGCTACATGACAACAGTAGTAATAATGCAATATTATCAATATGCGTACATATTCGTACATTTGGACTTGAATGATCTTTGGCTCCTTATGGACTGTCTTATACCCAGTGAGAAATGATTCGTCGATCGACGTCGAAATGACGTCGAATCGACATCGACACCGTCGAATTGACGTCGATTCGACATCATTTCGACGTCGATCGACGAATCATTTCTCACTAGGTAGTCTTATCCTGGCATATAGCCTCACGGTAAGATGTGTTTCTCTACGAGAATGATATAGAATACATCTATATCTACTTCTAATATAATTATGTTAACGTTACATATTCTCGACGAGGCTAATGTGTGTCAGATATATATATTGTTGTACCCAATAAAATTATATGGGCAATACGTTTCGTGACTCGTTACATACGAAGAATATCGGTCAGATTGATATGCAGCAAAATTTGGTGGAAATTTTTAACGGAAAATACGATCGTAGCACACCCCTACTTGTTATCAAAGGTCTCATTTGCGAGCATGAAAAGATTATTACTTTATCGGAGAGTATCGAGGACCTATATACATACTCATATTGCGCTGATGCACGTTCTGTGAAATACAATAGTTACGTGTTGCACTGGTCTCGTGATTATAATTGTCAGTAACGTCGGTTGTTCTTTATATTTTAGATGATAACTTGATATTTTTATCTCCTCTGAGATAATTAGTTATGGGGAAGATACAGCAAATTTGATCATATCTGTGAACTATTATATGTCAATAATTCTCTCATACATTGTTTGAGAGGAGAAGTTTTAAGTGCCAAGGTATGTAAATTATTGCGAGTTTCCTTTTGAGGCGTGTATTAAAAATACGTTTCCTTATATTTATGTTGCATCAATCGTTGAGTAGATATCATATTTTACGTTTTAAAAATGCTTCCATTATTAAAATATATTCTTCTTCTTCTTCCTCGCGTATTAGCCTTAAAAGCCTGTTTTATCCAGTTTATTCTGGTACTTTGAGCATTGTGATTTTACTTCATCTTCGGTAGGCTGCTAACCTTGCCGAAATATGTTAATGTGTAAAAATTCATTAACAATATAAAAATGGTTTTTAATTTACCGTTACTTTGTGTGCTTTAAACGATTCAACCTGCTTCCAGAATAAGTCGATTGGCGATGCAATATACGAGTCACTTTGGTAAAATCTGTCGCCAAGCGACAGTCAAGATACCAAAAGGGATTGCCAATGTAATGCAGATGGAGCTATGGATTTGACTTTAGAAGAATTTACAAGTGTTTGCTTTGCGTTATGATAGTAGTTGATTTTGAGTTGTTTTCGAGTAATTTCAACGTCAGTTCAGTTATTGCGGTTGTAGTCACCCGACTTAACCCCTCTTGACTTTTTTCTGTGGGGTCACATGAAAGGACCTGGTGTATCAAACCCCAGTTGAGAGTGAGGAGGACCTAGTCGCGCGGATCGTTGAGGCTGCACATCGTGTCCGAGAAGCGCCGGGAATTTTCCGAAGAATCAATGTTGCATCGATGTGAATTGTGCCGCCAAGTTGGAGGGAGAAATTTCGAACATCTGCTCTGAGGTACATGTGTCCGTTTCCATTTTCTTCTGCAAAAAGAGACAGTTTTTTTCAACAATTCAACAATTCAACAAAAGCAGACAGTGTACATAGCACGTTTACGCTCAACCCAACGTGAGAAATGATTCGTCGATCGACGAATCATTTCTCACTGGGAAGTGCCTGGAAGGTAGCCGATCTTAATTCTTTAAACGCCTGTAGCGCCGAAACTAATCATCGTAGACCTATGGTTACTATATTCAAAATACTTGTATTTGTATCCTTTACTACCCCTTTAATTTACGAAACAAAGTTTCTCTGCACCCTGTATATACTTGTATATAATATCAGTGTTAAATGTGGTGAACTAAAATCAGAAAAATGTTAGATTGTTAAAATTTCTTAACCTAAATAGCTTTAACAGTTTCTTTACCATTAGTTTTGAGTGAATGAAGGTGAACAATTTATGAAAACCAGATTAGTAGTAATTAGTTTGGATTCATTGAGTAACTATATTTATTGATGACATTTATTTTATATCAAGTGGATTTTCACCTCAATTATTGAAAAAAATGGTACATATCTGAAGAAAATATTTTAGCAACACCATACGTAAGCTTTTTTTTAAATAAATCTTTAGAAAGTTTTTCTTTAGAAATAGGATTTCATTTGAATTATTCAACCTCTGATGAATTTCCTCCTTTTTCTTGTATTGTCTTTAGATTTTTTTTTCTTATATCAACATATTTACTACTAAATACAATTGCTTGTGTTTCTCCATTGTATGCTGACAGTTTCACTTTTCTCGTCAAACTTCTCGGTCGCTCCAAAAGCACCCTTAGTTGTTGGAGAAGCATAGCAAAACGGAATAAAATGTAAGCGTGTACATAAGTGAGCAATGAAAAATTTACTAGCAAGATGAGTCGCTTCCAATAATCGGATATTATGTTATTACATTTTCTCCATTTCTCTCTTTCCGCTTACATATACATGTGCTCTGCGAACTTTAACTTTTTCATATTTTTTAATCGGTTACAGCTAAACCCGACATTTACTCGAGGGAGAAATTCAATTTTAAATTAATTATTTGCCATCGTACAACTACTAAATTCACTGTCCTCGAAGGCGAGCGGTATCGTAATCGTTTTTGCTTTTAATATGTCCGCGAGCTTCCAAGAATTAATGCGATTGGTGAGGGGTAATTACAATTGATCGCTACTGTCTCCGCTTCATCGTCTTCGCTATGGTTATTCAGTACGTTTGTCGTTATCACGCAAAGCACGCAACGTCTGCTTTCTATGCGTTTACGTTACTATCTACTTTGACAATAGCAGCGATCTTGGAAAAGCGATGAAGCGCGCAACTACCATTAGCTTCCCCGTCGAAATCGGTCTCCGTTTAACCGGCATGTGGCCGGACTCGGCCTATCCGAATGTCTATTGGTCTATGTACATGACGATGATTGTGATATTGCAATATTATCAATATTCGTACATTGTTGCGCATTTTAGCATGAGTAATCTTACAACTTTAGCTGAATGCTTGGGTCTCACCCTGACGAACACGCTCGCCCTTATTAAGCTATTTTTTTTACGGTGGAACCGCAGGTAAAAGTTCTTTATTTTAATTGCTGAATCAGGGAATTGTTAGAAACTATTAAAAATGTTGAGAGAGAGAGAGAGAGAGAACGCGAGAAATAAGAGAAATAAAACGATTGTTACATGAATAACTTTGAAGTATTATAAGAAAACGTTTTAGTATATGTTTCATTTTTCAGACGACATTTGTTGTCAGAGAGAAATTTTTTAAGACACATATAATAAACAGTAAACGATTTTAGTGTAGAATTGATGATCATTAGTGAAAGTAATATTTGCTATAAACATTTCTGAATAGAGTTACATTAAACGCTTTGGGAACTTAGTATTTCTTCTTATTTATGATAAAAGACTGATTAACGCATGCAGTTATTCGATAAAAGGTTGAACTCTCCGCAGGATATTCCACAATATCCTGGCAGCAATGGATGAAGACTGGAATGATTGCGTTGTCAACGATTCTTGTTCCACCATGACGTCAATCGCGGCTAAAACGCGTCGGTATTCCATCGGGTTCATCGGTATCAATAATTTAGCTGCTTTCTTCTTAACAGTCGTTGCTTACATGGTTCACACAATGAACAATGCTGACAGCGAAGCTTCCCGAGAACTCCCAGTGAAAATGGAGTTCCCTGTTGCGGTCCTAAAATCACCGCTTTTCGAGTGCATCCTCGGCATACAAATTTTTTATGAACTGTCGACGTCTGCTATAGCTGGTATGGTAAACGCGTTGCTTGCTACATTGGTAAGTATACAATAATTTATTGTAAGTCTTAAATTTCCCCTTTGCGATGCAAGAAAACTGTAATTGTAAATAAAAATTTGTTTTTCCAGTCTCTGTTTTATGTTTATAGATACTTCATGTAAGCGGCCAGATCGATATCATGCGGCAAGCTATAACGAAAGTATACAGCGACGAATTCGGTACATCTTTAACCGTCATCGATGATGTCATTCGAAGACACCGGAAGATCATTACTTTGTCGAACGACATCGAAACTTTATTTTCGGCCATTGCGCTGATTCAACTCCTGTGGAATACTTTAACCATCTGTTTCACTGGTTTTATGATGATACTTGTAAGCAAGATCGACTGTTCCGATCTTCTGATCGATAATTCACCTTCTTCCGCAGGCTCTCAGTAGCAAAAAAGGCATAATAATTTTGGCAAAGCCGTTTTTTCTTTATTTTGCAAAAACAGTAGAGGTCTTCGTATTCTGTTACGCAGGAGAGTTTTTGAGCTCCAAGGTGAGTAAAGGAATGTATTTCCGCCCAGAGTTCTTGTGATTATGTACATCTTCTTGTTTTTAAAACTGCAAATAATAAAAAATTAATTAAAACGGAAAGTAGTATTGAAAATTTATAGCTGTAATAACACTTCATACTACATTTTTCATAAATTCTATTATATTCTATATTATATTATATTATATTCTATTATATTCTATTATATGTACCTAATATATAATAGATATAGAATAAACAATAACTAACAATAAGTGATTGTCTCATTCATGTGTTTGAACTCGTTAATCGATTTTCAGAGTAAATCGATTAACGACGCCGTATATGAGTCAGTTTGGTACAACATGGAACCGTCCGACAGTCGGATTTTGTTATTCATAATGATGAGATCGCAGAAGCGACTGACAATCACCGCGGGGAAAACTTTTGATCTTACTTTAGAAGGCTTTATGAGCGTAAGACGTCGATAGTACAGACAAAACTCTTAATTGTTCACGCTTTTCTCTTTCACCACATTTTTCTCAGGTCATGAAAGCTTCTGCCTCGTACATGTCCGTATTGCATGCTATGTATTAAATTGGGCGAAGGATCATCTGTCCACAGTTTTAGTAGACGCTCCGCGTCAGTGATAGACTGTCCGTTGTAAACTTTTTCAACCGACACTTGTTACAGATATATGAAGACATGAATTGTATGAACATTTATATTTATATATTTTAGTAATAACATTAGAACCTTAGTCACGTAAAGATGTAATAAATTTATGTTCTTGTTGTATCTCCTCGCATTCGCACCGCAGCCTACGTTTCAATTTTCTTTTCTATAATATTTCATTTTCTTTCCGCTGACATAAATATCCGTAAATATCCTACCATGTGATGACAATTTTGTACATTATTGGCGCAATTCGTCGTACGGTGAAAGTACTCAATTTTCAGGTCTCTTAGAAACATATGTACGTTCGCTTCTCCAATATTTTTTGTGAAGAAAGTATCATCAACGACAATTGCATCTGCACTTGCATTTTTAAGAACGTTATTTGCGTAATTATATATACGTGTACCTCTTTTTGCGGGCTCAAGCTCACAATCATCGTTCATTTATCATTGCAATTTAGTTTGCTTCGTCGCGCAATTTATACGGCAAAATGTGTAATTGCGATTGATCGTTACTTACACAAACGTTACGGTTTTACCCTGTATAATTGCTCTACCTCTCTTGCGAAATTGTGGAGGGGAGTGCACTACGGTGCTAGACCGAAGGTCGCGATTGCTATATTTTCTTCACGACGTCGCTTCTCGTGTACAATCGTTATTCGCCTCGTTGGAAGGGGACGATGTGCACGGTTTCCCGAAGTGATGGTTCAATGTGACGTTACGTGCTACCATGCTGACAAGTACCGTAAGCCCGTTGCTGAGAATCGGTTTCGCTTTGATTGGCGTATGGCCCGGCGCCTCACACGCGACGCCTCGCTGGCTCTTTTACATGACGGTCCTTGTCGTGATGCAGTATTTTCAGTACTATTACGTCTACGCGCATTTCGATTTCAGTAACCTCTCGAAATTGATGGACGGTCTGGGCCTAACGATGGCTTGCACCCAGATGACACTGAAGTTACTCAGCCTCTGGCTTAATCGTCGGTAAGCGATCGCTTGATCTCTCCATCTCGATGCTTGATCATTTCCGAGAGTTGATTTAAGAGGCACAAATTGTTGATCGGTTGTAGGATATTTGCGGATATTTTGGAAGCGATGGATGACGATTGGAAGAACTGCGAGACCAATTTCCGCGAATGCGTGATGATAGACAAGGCTACTTTGGCGCAACGTTGCTCCAACGCTATGATATCCTTCAATGTTCTCTCCACTTTTTTGTTTTTTATCGATAAGCACATGCATGGACATACGGTTTCCATGAACGGACAACTGTTTCGTGAGTTTCCGATACAAATACAGTTTCCGTTTGACGTTTACAAAACGCCCGTTTACGAGCTCATCAGCGTGGGGTTGTTCTTCCATGTGTTGGAAATGGGGATCGTAATGGCGATGGTGAATGCCTTGATCTTAACGTTGGTAAGTTAAGAAATAGAAGCGATTGCGAATCTTTTATCTAAACATATATTGACGTGATGGTATTAAAAATGTTTATTACCGAATGAATTAAAGGTTTTCCTTTCATTTGCTTGAACTCTACCTGAGACTTTAATTTTTGTTTCGAGGTGCTTCACGTAAGTGGACAAATCGATATCATGTGTCAAGAGCTAAAAGAGATTCCTTCCACACTCCAATCCAGCTCAGTATCCGTCAAAACTCTTGTCGTAAGACACCAGAGGATCATATCGTTGTCGAAGAACATCGAAAACCTTTATTCATTTGTTTCTCTGTTACAATTCGTCGGAAATGTTTTTGTTATTTGTACCTTAGGATTCATGGTCGTTATAGTGAGTAAGACTCTTTCAGCTACTGTAGTACATTGTTAACTAAAGTCCCTCATATTTTTAGGTATTATCTGAAAAAGAAAATGTAGTTTAGTCAAGCAATATTTAATTGACAACACAATTTTTAAATAAGGGAATACGCATTGTCTAGCAACGATATTTTGAAAAACTTATTTTTATGGGGATATACATCAAATTTTGACATTATCTCCTATCTGTAAACATTCTTTAATATTTCAGTCTTTAAATAGCAAGGCGAGTAATTCCGGAATAGTGATACGATTTGTTATTCCGTATCTCGTAGCGACTATAGAAGCGTTTGTACTTTGTTTCGCCGGCGATTATTTGAGCACCAAGGTACGCATGCTGCGGTTGTTTATATCTTCTGCTTTTGTTAGAGCAGTTAGTAAATGAAAGTACCGTAAAATTTTGGCAATTTAATTGCACGAAGTGACGAAACCATATTTAGTGTAATTCCGTTTATTTGGAACAGAGATCTTCGTATCTCTGCGCGTCATGTTGCTGTAGTGGCATGTGACAACTAATTTATCTTTGTCTCTTTTTTTTTCAGAGCAAGGCTATCGGCGATGCGGCGTATGAGGTGGTTTGGTACGATTTGTCTACTAGCGAGTGCCGAATTCTGTTATTCGTGATCCTCAGATCTCAAAAGCAACTGACGATCACGGCTGGAAAAATCGTGCATCTGACATTGGAAAGCTTTATTACTGTAAGTTCTCTACTTCACACTCTATTTTTATCTTAACAATATATTATGACAATCAAACAAATACTTATGCCATTTATACTATATGCTTAGAAAATTGATTTAACATGTGTGTCAAGAAATTGTCTTTAGACTTTGATTGTTTCTGTTAGTATTTTCTTTTGCATGATATTCTTTTAGGTCATGAAGGCTTCAGCCTCATATGTTTCGGTTTTATTTGCGTTATATTGAAGCGCGAATAAATCTATGCAGGACTCACGTATATCGCTGAATTGTCGTGACGTAATGATGTATATTTGTAGAAAGTTTAATAGAGAGATGATTATTATAATATTATATCGTGCAGATTTTCATTTCTTTTCAACAACCGTAGTTTAATCCTATTTATAAACTTAATAAAATATGTATCTCTGTCTGTCTAAGGATCCGTTCTTCTCCAGATTTTTGAGTTATAAGTACCCTGATGGAAAAATTTTGCTGAAAATGTAATGAAATTGATGAAAAGTGAAATGAAAGTTTTTGGAAACTTGTTAAAACCATTTCAAAATAAATCATAAGTTTCGTTATGAAATTCAATGAAATACTGTGAAATTAGATGAAAGTTAATTAATATTACTAAAAATTTTAGAAATGTATATTATGAAATTTGCAGAATTTCACTGAAAATAAATTTTTTAATGAGAAATTGCTGAAATGATAATGAAATTGGGTCAATTGCAAGAGATTTTCAACCAAATTTCAGCGAATTTCATTACGTTTTCAGCAAAATTTTTCCATCAGGGTAGCCAAATTTTCCACCTTACAGTCTGTTGTAAAAAATTCCATTGATAATAAATAACGCGTTTTAAATATTATGGTTCATTTCTAGGTTCCCTCTCAAATTTTCGTAAATTTTTCAGAAAGAATAAAAATAATTTAATAGTAATATTAAAAAGCTACAATTATTCACGTAGTATATTAAATAGTTATACAAGTTTTTAATTATTAGCTGCGGATTGAAAATTATAACGTCCATTTTCGTCGCCTGATCTCACTGCACAGAATATTTTCTTTTTTCACAAATGACAGTATTCAACAAATTAATATTCCTGCAAATCAATTATTGTATTATATGTCATTTACGTCAATCAATCGTTTCTTCTTTTAAATGTGATTTTCCGATCTGTCCAGAACGAACAATTTTTTGCTTTTTTTTATAGCGAAGCCACGTTTATCTCTGTACTCGACAATCACTATTACGTTTTTAAAGAAAATTATTCATCAATTTTACTACGCTCAGGTTTCCTGGCAGAGTTGGTGATGATATTATCCACGTGTTCCTTTCTTGCTGATTGCGAGAAAAAATTTGTGATCGCCTGTTATCGCAATTTAGTTTATTATTTCATGACTGTCGCCGCACTGCAAGATACATAATTGCAATTGATCGAGGCTCACGCTACCTCGTATTTTTTGTATGGGGTAGTTCTGCTCTTTGCGAAATTGCTAACTACGCGCGAGGGAGTGGGGGATACGCAAGAGTTTAAAGACCTCTTCCTCGTGTTTTCCTCGCGGCTGACGTTCCTCCCCGATCCACTTCATTTGAACAAGACGATGCGAACGGTTCGGCCAAGTGACGTTTCAATGTGAGTTTACCAGCCGCTATGATAACAAGTACCATAAGTCCCTCTCTAAAGATCGGCCTCGGTGTGATCGGAATGTGGCCCGATTCTTCGTGCAGAACGTTCTTCTGGTTCTTTTACATGGCCACTCTTGTCGCCATGCAATACTTTCAGTATTCATACTTCTTTGCGCGTCTGGGCACAAACGATTTCTCCAAGTTGATGGACGGCCTGAGCATCACTTTGGATTATACCCTAACATTTCTGAAGCTGCTAAGCCTCTGGTACAATCGTCGGTAAGATTCACGACTATCGGCTGCCGAGACTTCTGGACGTTGTCAGAGATAAGTGATCGGTTGCAGAATATTTGCAGATATTTTGACTGCGATGAACGATGACTGGAACAATTGCTCCACGTATTCGCACTCGTACGTGATGACGAGCAAGGCCAATTTGGCGCATCGATGCTCCAACGTTATGATATTCATTAACAGCTTGTCCACAATTTTCTACTTCATTGGCAGCTTTGTGAGTCACCGCACGCTCTCGACGGGTGGTGAGAAAAATCTCCGGGAGTTTCCGATGCAGGTACAGTTTCCATTCGATGCAGCCACCGACTCGCCGATCTTCGAGATCATCGTTCTGGGATTGTTTCTTCATGTGTGGGAAACGGCAGCCGTAATCGCGCTGCTGAATTCCTTGATTTTGACTTTGGTAAGTCAAGGAATATGAACCTTCAAAACGAAAATGGAGACAGTTAATGAAGTAAAGTTATTGGGATGCCACGTGAGCTCTCTGTAATCGTATTAAATATAGCACATCGTTTAAGTCCTCGTAAACCTGTCTCGAACCACCAGTTCTTATTTCGAGGTACTTCACGTAAGCGGCCAGATCGATATCATGTGCCAAGGACTGAGAGAAATTCCCACTACGAAAAAATCTCGCTCGTCCGCCATAAGATTGCTCATCGAAAAGCATCAGAGGATTATATCTTTATCGAACAATATTGAAAATTATTTCTCGTTCGTTGCGTTGATACAATTTATATGGAACACTGTAGTTATTTGTTCCATAGGAATCATGATCGTGATAGTGAGTAAGGATCGCTTTATCTACCGCGGAAATTCAATGACTCTTGAAGGCAAAAACAAAAATTTGCCCCGAAACTTCGCGTCAGTCTTTCCGGAGCTACTTCATTCGCTCATTTTGGAACTGTTTGAAACATTTTAAAAGTAATAAAACAATTTACAGTATTTGATATTTAGCCAAAGCAATTCTAAAGGGAGAAATCTCGTGAAATACTTGCACAATAATAACTTCATTTCTCTCAGAATATTGCGTTATCTCGTTTCCTCGACGCTGGGATTATGTTCTTAGAGACTCTAGGATTATGTTCGTTCTGTATGTAGAGTGTAATATCGGTCCAATAATTAAAAGCACGAACATGCACGAGATATTACGACTTACTCCTGATTAACATAATCTAACACGTCATTACGCAGTCTCTAGGCATGGACGTGGAGGGTAAATCCGGATTATTAATACAATCCATCATGCCGTATATCGCTGTTACGTTGGAAGCCTTTGTTTTCTGTTTTGCTGGAGAGTACTTGAGTACTAAGGTTAGCACGATTCCTTTGCTTTTAACGATTCCTGGGTGTGAGTACTTTTCTCTAATGTCACGTATAAAAGGATTTTACGATTTAACGATCAGGCTTGTTATGTTACATATGTAGCTGCATGGTCCTTGCACGCCCGTTTAACTCCAATTGTTGAATGATATCTTAAACAAATCTTTCTTTCTCAGAGCAAATCTATCAGCGATGCCGCATACGAGACACTTTGGTACGAGTTGTCCACCAGCGAGTGTCGAATCTTATTATTGGTAATCGTCAGATCTCAAAAACGATTGACGATCACGGCTGGAAAAGTTATGGATCTGACTTTGGAAGGTTTCACAGCTGTAAGATTCTTATCATTTTTGAGTGCGACGGATGATTCATGCTGTTTATACACGTACAGATTTATTGATCTAAATTCAAACAACCATGAATATTGCAATTGGATATAATATTATTGAAACTGTACCGTGGTACACAATTAATATTTAAATTCTGGGCTATGTCGTTTATATATTTCGTTATTATTTATTTAAAAATATCCTTTTTCAGCTTATGAAAGCTTCGGCGTCATACATGTCAGTATTGCACGCAATGTATTAAAACTGAAATCAACTTATCCCAAGTAATTAACCTCATTTGTTGATTAACCATGTGTAAAAGTACATATAAAACAATAAAAACTAATAAAATTATTAGACGGATGAACTTATTTTGTCATGTCCGCTGGAAAATGCAAAACGGAAAATGGACGTTATGATTTAACAAGACCTTTGTGTCAGGTTTTATGCAACAATACAGAAATAGATTATACATATAGTAAACTTCTTTGTTATTATAAAATCCATTGCGCTGCAATAAAAATATATATTAAAGCTTCAATAAAAGTTCTAAATTTTTCCAAATGTTTTCTATATCGTATTGACGCAACGATACCTTTCGCAGTCTGCAGTTTCTTTGTCGTATCTAAGTTTTTCAAAGTCTTTCTACTTTGCAGGTATTGCTTCGTATTATTATTTCCATTATTTGCAGGAGAGATATACGTATGTATAGCACGCATGTGAATAAATTACTTAATATTACTTGATTACTTCAGACTAATAGCTACGAAGTACTTTCATCGCTCATTAAAAAATTTGCAAACTATGAACACAATTTACTTTCATTTCTTTGGAATGCGTAATGCGTAAATTACAATCGTTCACTGAGGCAGATGTGTAGAAAAAGAGATGGACATTTGTATTTTGTCGACGAAATATTATGTTGTCATAGAGACAAGGTTGGGTGACTATGTACTAGCGAATCACTATTACGTTCTTAAGGAAAATTATTCATCAATTCTACTGCGTTCGGTTTTCCTGGCAAAGTTGATGACGATATTTTCCTCTCGGGTACCTTTCTTTCTGATTGCGAGAAAAAAATTTGTAATCGCCTGTCATCGCAATTTAGTTTATTATTTCGATACGACTGTCGTCATACTGCATGATACGTAATTGCAATTGATCGGGGCTCACGCTACCTCGTATTTTTTGTACTGGGTATGTCTGCTCTTTGGGAAATTGCTATCTGCGCGCGAGGGAGTGGGGAATACGCAAGAGTTTAAAGACCTCGTGTTTTCCTTGCGGCGACGTTCCTCCCAGATCCACTTCATTTGAAGAAGACAATGCGAACGGTTCGGCCAAGTGACGTTTCAACGTGAGTTTACGAGTCGCTGCGATAACAAGTACCATAGCCCAGCGAGAAATGACTTGTTGATCGATGTCGAAGCGATGTCGAATCAACGTCAATATGTCTACTTCGATGTCGATGCGACATCGTTTTGACATCGATCAACGAGCCATTTCTCACTGGGAAGTCCTTCTCTAAAGATCGGTCACGGTTTGATATCAAATTGTGGCCCAATTCTTCGAGTAGAACGTTCTGGTTCTTTTACATGGCCACTCTCGTCATACGATACTTTCAGTATTCATACTTCTTTGCGCATTTTGGCACAAACAATTTCTTCAAATTGATGGGCGGCCTGAGCGTCACTTTGGATTATACCCTAACATTTTTAAAGCTGCTAAGTCTCTGGTACAATCGTCGGTAAGATTCACGACGCACTAGATTCTATTTTCAGGTCTGTTAGAAACATATGTTCACTTCTCTAATATTTTTGGTGAAGAAATTATCATCAAAGACAACTGCGTCTGCATTTGCATTTTTTAAAACGGTTATTTGCGTAATTATACGTTGTATCTTTTTTTGCTGGCTGAAGCTCACAATCATCGTCCATTTATCATTGCAATTTAGTTCGCTTTGTCGCGCAATTTATACAGCAAAATGTGTAACTGCGATTGATCGTTACTCGCAACGTAGCGGTTTTACCCTGTAAAATTGCCCTGCCTCTCTCGTGACATCGTGGAGGGGAGTGCACCACGGAGCTAGACCGAAGGTCTCGATTGCCATATTTTCTTCACGACTTCTTGTACAGTCGTTATTCACCTCGTTGGAAGAGGATGACGTGCACGGTTTCCCGAAGTGATGGTTCAATGTGACGTTACATGCCACCATGTTGACAAGTACCGTAAGCCCGTTGCTGAGAATCGGTCTCTCTTTGATTGGCGTATGGCCCGGCGCCTCACACGCGACGCCTCGCTGGCTCTTTTACATGACGACCCTTGCCGTGATGCAGTATTTTCAATACTACTCCGTCTACGTGCATCTCGATTTCAGTAATCTCTCGAAATTGATGGATGGTCTGGGCCTAACTCTGGCTTACACCCAGACTACACTGAAGATACTCAGCCTCTGGCTCAATCGTCGGTAAGCGACCGCTTGATTTCTCGATCTCGATACTTGATCATCTCCGAGAGATGACTTAAGAGACACAAATCGGTGATCTGTTGTAGGATATTCGCAGATATTTTAGAAGCGATGAATGACGATTGGAAAGATTGCGAGACCAAGTTGCGCGAATGCGTGATGATAGACAAGGCTAATTTGGCGCATCGTTGCTCCAACGCTATGATATCGATAAACATTCTCTCCACGTTTTTGTATTTTATCGATAAGTACATACGTGGACATAGGGTTTCTAAAAACGGACAACTGTTTCGCGAGTTTTCGATACAAATACAGTTTCCGTTTGACGTTTACAAAAGGCCCGTTTACGAGCTCGTCAACGTGGGGTTGTTCTTCCATGTGTTCGTAACGGGGGTCGTAATGGCGATGCTGAATGCTTTGATCCTAACGTTGGTAAGTTAAGAAAGAAAAACGAATAAATATAGCACAAATATGTATGATGTAAGATTAACGTAATGATATTAAAAATGTTTATTACCGAGGAAATTAAAGTTTTTGTTGGATTTGTTCGAATTCTTCCTGAAACTTTAGTTTTTGTTTCGAGGTACTTCACGTAAGCGGACAAATCGATATTATGTGTCAAGAGCTAAGAGAGATTCCTTCCACGCTCAAATCTAGCTCAGTGTCCACCAAAACGCTTGTCGGAAGACATCAGAAAATTATATCGGTGTCGAAATACATCGAAGATCTTTTTACATACGTTTCTCTGTTACAATTCGTATGGAACACTCTTGTTATCTGTGCCTTAGGATTTATGGTCGTGATAGTGAGTAAGACTCTTTCAACTACTGTAGTACAAACATAAGTAAAAATCTGCTACATGTTTTTAAATATTGTCGAGCAAAATGGTACAATGGAAATATGCGTAATTAATTAAAAATACTCTGCGAGCAATATCTGAGAAAGAAAATGCGGTTTACTCAATACTATATTTAATTGACAACGCAATTTAAAAATGAAGGAATGCGCATTGATATCTAGCGAAAATGTCCCGAAAAACTTTTCTATGCGGATATTTGTCCAATTTTGATTTTGTCTTCTACTGTCTGTAAACATTATTTAATATTTCAGTCTTTAGGTAACATGACGAGTAATTCCGGGGTATTGACGCAATGTATTATTCCATACCTCGCAGTGACTATGGAAGCGTTTGTACTTTGTTTTGCCGGCGATTATCTGAGCACTAAGGTACGTGCGACGTTTATTTTCATCATTTTTTCGTTACAGTAATCACTAAATAATAGTATCTTAGAATTTGGATAATATAATTGTACGACATGACTAAACCACGTACGCATTGTGATTGCGTTTATTCAAGAGTAGATCTTCGTGTCTCCGCGTGTCGTGTTGCTTATAGTCTCAGCGAACAACTAATTTATCTTTCTCTTTTTTCTCAGAGCAAAGCTATCGGCGATGCGGCGTATGAGGTGGTTTGGTACGATTTATCTACTAGCGAGTGCCGAAGTTTGTTATTCGTGATTCTCAGATCTCAAAAGCAACTGACGATTACGGCTGGGAAAGTCGTAGATCTGACGTTGGAAAGTTTCATTACTGTAAGTTCTTTGTTTTAAACTTAATTTTTTTCTGAACAATATATTATGACTATTAAACAAATACTTACGCCACACAATAATACTTAATATGCTTAGAAAATTTATTAATTATTATGTGTATCATATCAAGAAATTGTCTTTAGACTTTGATAATTGTTTGATTTCAGTTAGTATTTTTTCTTGTATGATATTCTTTTAGGTCATGAAGGCTTCAGCCTCATATGTTTCGGTTTTATATGCGTTATATTGAAACACGAATTAATCTATGTTGTTTGCAAGTATATTGTTAAATTATCACGAGTTACGTACGAGTACATGAATGATGTACATTTGATGTAGGAAGATTAATAGAAATATGATTAATTTAGTTGTGCAGTTTTTCTGTTATTTGTAACAACCATAGTTCAATCCTGTTCATAGATTTACAATTTGTCGAATGTGTATCTCAATGGTATCTCTGTTCTTCATCAGACTTGAGTTATAAGATAGCAAATTATTCAACTTTCCACAGTAAAATCTGCCGTAAAATATTCCAGTGACACCAAATAATGCGTTTTAAATATCAAGGTTTATTTCTAGTTCCTTCTCAAATTATTGTAAATTTTTCAGGAGGAATAAAAACGATTTAACAGTAATATTAAAAAGATACGATTATTCACGTACTATATGACATGGTTATACAATTTTTTCACTTGTTAGCTGAGGATTGAAAATTACAACGTCCATTTTCGTCGCTTGATCTCTCTGCACAGAATATTTTCTTTTTTCACAAATGACAATATCCAAGAAATTAATATTCCTGCCACGCAATTATTGTATTAAATGTCATTTACATCAATCAATCGTTTCTTCTTTTAAATGTAATTTTCAGATCTGTCCAGGACGCATAATTTTTTGCTTTTTTTTCATAGCGAAGCCATCCATGCTTATCTTTATACTAGAGAATCACTATTACGTTCTTAAGGAAAATTATTCATCAATTCTACAGCGTTCGGTTTTTCTTGGCAAAGCTGATGATGATATTATCCACGTGTACCTTACTTTCCGATTGCGAGAAAAAATTTGTAATCGCCTGTCATCGCAATTTAGTTTATTATTTCATGACTGTCGCCGTACTGCAAGATACATAATTGCAATTGATCGAGGCTCACGCTACCTCGTATTTTTTGTACGGGGTAGTTCCGCTCTTTGCGAAATTGCTAACTACGCGCGAGGGAGTGGGGGATACGCAAGAGTTTAAAGACCTCTTCCTCGTGTTTTCCTCGCGGTGACGTTCCTCCCCGATCCACTTCATTTGAACAAGACGACGCGAACGGTTCGGCCAAGTGACGTTTCAATGTGAGTTTACCAGCCGCTATGATAACAAGTACCATAAGTCCCTTTCTAAAGATCGGCCTCGGTCTGATCGGATTGTGGCCCGATTCTTCGTACAGAAGGTTCTTCTGGTTCTTTTACATGGCCACTCTTGTCGCCATGCAATACTTTCAGTATTCATGCTTCTTCGCGCGTTTGGCCACAAACGATATCTCCAAGTTGATGGATGGCTTGAACATCACTTTGGAGTATTCCCTAACATTTCTAAAGCTGTTAAGCTTCTGGTACAATCGTCGGTAAGATTCACTATCATCTGCCGAGATTTCTGGACATTGTCAGAGATAAGTGATCGGTGCAGAATATTTGCAGATATTTTGACTGCGATGAACGATGACTGGAACGATTGCTCCACGTATTCGCATTCGTACGTGATGACGAGCAAGGCCAGTCTGGCGCATCGTTGCTCCAACGTTATGATATTCCTTAACGGTTTGGCCACTGTTTTCTACGTCATTGGTAGCTTCGTGAGTCACCGCACGGTTTCCACGGGTGGTGAGAACAATCTCCGGGAGTTTCCGATGCAGGTACAGTTTCCATTCGATGCAGCCACCGACTCGCCGATCTTCGAGATCATTGTACTGGGATTGTTCCTTCATGTTTGGGAAACGGCAACCATAATCGCGATGCTGAATTCCTTGATGTTGACATTGGTAAGTCAAGGAATATGAACTTTTAAAACCGAGAATATAGAGACAGTTAATGAAGTAAACTTATTGGGATGCCACGTGAGCTCTCTTTAATCGCATTAAATGTAGCGCATATTTTAAGTCGTCGTAAACGTGTCTCGAACCTCCAGTTCTTATTTTGAGGTACTTCACGTAAGCGGCCAGATCGATATCATGTGCCAAGGACTGAGAGAAATTACCACTACGGAAAAATCTCGTTCGCCAGCCATAAGACTGCTCGTCGAAAGGCATCAGAGGATTATATCTTTATCGAACAATATTGAAAATTTTTTCTCGTTCGTTGCGCTGATACAAGTTATATGGAACACTGTAGTTATGTGTTCCATAGGAATCATGATCGTGATAGTGAGTAAGAATCACTTTATCTGCCGCGGGAATTCAATGTCTCTCGAAGACAAAACCAAAAATTTGTCCCGAAACTTTGCGATGCGTCAGTCTTCCCAGAGCTACTTTATTCGGTTATTTTGGTACTGCTTGCAACACCTAAAAAGTAATAAAACAATTTACGATAGTTGTTATTTAGCCAAAGCAATTCTAAAGGAATCTCGTGAAATACTTACACAATAATAACATCACTTCTCTCGGAATAACGCGTTATCTCGTTTCCTCGACGCTGGGACTTTGTTCGTAGAGACTCTAGGATTATGTTCGTTCTGTATGTAGAGTATAATATTGGTCCAATAATTAAAAGCACGAACATGCACGAGATATTACGCCTTACTCCTGATTAACATAATCTAACATGTCATTATGAAGTCTCTAGGCATGGACGTGGAGGGTAAATCCGGATTATTAATACAATCCATCTTGCCGTACGTCGCTGTTACGTTGGAAGCCTTTGTTTTCTGTTTTGCTGGTGAATACCTGAGTACTAAGGTTAGCACGATCCCTTTGCTTTTCACGACTCCTAGGTGTGTGTACTTTTCCCTAAAGCCACGTATAAAAGTGTACTTTTCAAATTTATGATTCAACGATGAGATTTGTTTATGTTACCTGTATAACTGCACAGTCCTTATATTCCTGTTTAACTCCAATTATTGAAACTTAAACAAATCTTTCTTTCTCAGAGCAAATCTATCAGCGATGCTGCATACGAGACACTTTGGTACGAGTTGTCCACCAGCGAGTGTCGAATCTTATTATTGGTAATCGTCAGATCTCAAAAACGACTGACGATCACGGCTGGAAAAGTTATGGATCTGACTTTAGAAGGTTTTACAGCTGTAAGATTCTTATTGTTTTTAAGTGTGATTAATGCTGTCTATACATGTAGAGGTTTATTGATCTAAACGCAAACAACCATGAATATTGCAATTGGTTATAATATTATTGAAACTGTACAGTAGTACACAATTAATATTTAAATTTTGGGATTTATCGTTTATATTTTTCGCCATTATTTATTTAAAAATATCCTTTTTCAGGTTATGAAAGCTTCGGCGTCATACATGTCAGTATTGCACGCAATGTATTGAAACTCAAATCAACTTATCCCAAGTAATTAACCTCACTTGTTGATTAACCATGTGTAAAAGTACTCATTAAACTATAAAAACTAATAAAATATTAGACGAATAAACTTATTTTGTTATACCCGCTGGAAAATGCAAAACGAAAAATGGACGTTACGATTTAACAAAATCTTTGTATCAGGTTTTATGCAACAATACAGAAATAGATTATATGGTAAATGTCTTCGTTATTATAAAATCCATTGCGCTGCAACAAGAATATACATGTATTAATGCTTTAGGAAATTTCTAAATCTTTCCAAACGTTTTCTGTACCTTATTGACGCAAGGATACCTTTCGCAGTCTGCAATTTCTTTGTCGTATCTAAGTTTCTCAAAGTCTTTCTACTTTGCCGGTATTGCTTCATATTATTATTTCCATTATTTGCAGGAGAGATATACGTATGTATAGCACGCATGTGAATAAATTGTGAATAAATAAACTTAATATTACTTGATTACTTCAGACTAATAGCTACGAAGTACTTTCATCGCTCATTAAAAAATTTGCAAACTATGAACACAATTTACTTTCATTTCTTTGGAATGCGTAATGCGTAATTGCAATCATTCAATGCACCAGATGTGTAGAAAAAGAGATGGACATTTGTATCTTGTCGACGAAAAATTACGTTGTCGAAGAGACAAGGTTGAGAAAGAACTGATGTCTAGCGCTGTTTGCTGTTTTTTGTTTCGTTACTTTACAATATCTTTGTTACTTCACAATCGGAATAAACGTTATCAGACTGTTTAATGGAATCATAGGATGTCCATACGAATAATGAGTTCTGTCTCTATTCATTATACTACGCGACGTATAATAACGACTAATCCATATTCACTTGAGTGGGGACGCATCGCGTGGGGATGTACTTGCGGAAACGGACGGAGGTTTTTCAGTTACTCCTTAGACCAACGTACCGAATGTACCGATAATAATCTTCATTGTTTTATTGCGTTTCAAACTATTGGCGACAATGATAATCACGAGTACTGTCAGCCCGGCGTTGAAAATTTGCCTTCAATATCTCGGCATGTGGCCGAATGTACCGCATTCTACTATCTATTGGCTGAGTTTTATGTTAAGTATATTGATTATGCAGTACTTCCAGTATCTGTATGTATTCAAGCATTATGATATCAACGAACTAGCGAATGTTGCTGACGCGCTGACATTAACTCTGGATTATAGCTTGACATTTTTTAAGTTGATCAGTTTGTGGATACATCGTCGGTAAGATATTGCACTATCACTGTGTAATGATCGCCGTGTTCGAGAAGCAAGATTTCCTAGTTTTTAACACATTACTGAAGCGATTTTCTCTACTTCGAAATTACTTAATATCATTATTTAAACTGTAGCTCGAACCTTGGCGCATACAATATTGTAGTCTCGTCCAAAGAGGTACAATGTTTCCATCTTAATATTTGACGGATTAAAACACATTACAGAGTTTTTCATCAAATCTTGATTGATATGGGTAATGATTGGCGCGAGTGCATGAATTTTGACCAGCATTTGTGTGTTATGCAAATCAAAGCCAATATTGCGCATTTTTGCTCCAATGCCATGTTGAGCATCAATGCGACCGTTACAGTGTTTTATTTTTTAGGGGAATATATGATTGATTTAATATTTCTAACTGAAGATTCCAATGATACTATGCGACATTTTCCCATAAAAACAGAATTTTCTGATGTAACTCAACAATCGCCGTTCTTTGAGTTGCTCTTTGTGATATTATTGATACAGACAATGTTACATGCAATCGCGGTTGGAACTATAAACGGATTAATCTTTACTTTGGTAATTCTCATTATACTTTACATGTACATTTATTAATTTAGGTAACGGAGTGATTTGTCAGACGAGATTAAAGCACAGACGTATATAAAGATATATGTTATTTCAAAAATTTGATTTTAATTAATTTGTAAAATTTTATTACATACTGGTACATTTCTGTATAACAAGAGGAAGAATTTCTAAATATGAATAGTAATGTAAATGTAAAAAATTTTATATAATCAACTAATCAAATATTATATTTTAGTAATATTATATTTATTATAACGTTTTAAATAAAACACAATTTTTGCAGTATCAAATCTCTTTTTAGTAAATGGAATTTTACAAAAATTTCACTGTAATTTGGGTGCTTTATTGAGCGGACAAAGTAATATAATGTATCAAGAATTAAGAAATATTTTTGTCAATGGTTTATTATGTAAACTATTTATCTGTATCTTACAGTTGTAAACATAATTCGAGTAAACATTTTTCCGCATTTATTAGAGAATTTTTGAACTGTTATATTATACATATTTTTGTGTAAAAAGTTTTACAATATAATCAATGCCTGTGTTGGAAAAGATTTCCAATTATCTTTATACGAGAAATTTTTTCGTAATTGAATATATCAGTTAAAAACTTTATTTTTATTGTATTATTTTATGTAAAGTACAACTTATTAAAAGAATTGTTATCATACAATGATTATAATTTTTAAAACAAATTGTAAAAGTTTAAAAATATTTTAGGTGTTTCACATAAGCGGACAAATTGATATAATGTGTCACAAATTTAGAAATATTACTAAGGGTGCTCTTCATAAATCTTCCGAAGGCTTATTTGGAATGCTGATAGAGAGACATAATAGAATTATTTTGTTTTCCAAAAACATTGAATCGCTTTTCTCCATCATTGCTTTGATGCAAGTTGTTTGCAATACGTTAGTTATTTGTTGTCTAGGATTTGTCATTATAATTGTAAGTACTGTAATAATTGCGTGAGGATTGGTATTAAACACGTATTAAATTTTCTTTCTATAATTTGGATTAGTCTATTCATAACTATACTGGAGTTTTCGTGTTAATCAAAACTGTCGCTGGTTATTTTGTTATAATGACTGAAGCCTTTCTCATTTGCTTTGCTGGAGAATATCTTTGCTTGAAGGTAAATATTTGAAATAATTAATTGCATATACATAATTTTTTAATAATTCAATTACATTGATGTAATGATAAAAGTGTATAAATTAGTCTTTCGAGAAAAATGTTTCAATATCTTTCAATAGATATATCATTTTATATCAAAATATAATCCATTTTTAATTATATAAGTGTTTGTTATTCCAAAAAAAATTTTAGAAAAAGAATGTATCTTTGTACTAAAGACAACATATTTGTTATAAGATCTTCAAAATTGCATGTTCGTCAATCAAACTTTTATTTAATGTAAAATTCCAAAAGTACAAATAGAAATAAAAACAATTAATGAAGAATTTCTAATATTGTTATTAAAATATATTTCCAATTTTGACGTAATTTTTAAATAAGAGTTAAAAATTTGATTTGACTATTTATGCTTTCAGAGTAACTTACTTGGCAGTGCGATATATGAAACGATGTGGTATGATATGCCGGCAGATCAAAGTAAACTTATAATATTCATAATAATGAGATGTCAGAAGCAATTAACAATCACAGCAGGAAATATGATAGATATGTCATTCGAAACTTTTACAAGTGTAAGGTCCAAAATCTTTTAAACCTTTACTTATTGACAGACAATTTTCTTTTATTTATAATTATTTTATTTTTAGATTTGTTGCTACATGTTTTGTATGAATTAATACAATTTGTAAATCTAATTTAACTCCTTTACTTATTTTTTAGATTATGAAGGCATCCGTATCTTATATATCAGTTTTGAATGCTATGCATTGAAATAAATTTATTGAAACTCAAACTTATCCCAAGTAATTAACTTCATTTGTCAATTAACCATTTGCAAAAGTACTCATAAAACAATAAAAACTAATAAAATTATTAGGCGGATAAATTAATTTTTTTACACCCGCTGGAAAATGCAAAACAGAAACTGGACGTTATGATTTAACAAAATCTTTGTGTCAGTTGTTATGCAACAATATAGAAATAGATTATATATTAAACTTCTTCGATATTATAAAATCCATTGCGCCGCAATAAGAAAATATATTAAGGCTTTAGTAAAATTTCTAAATTTTTCCAAATGTTTTCTATGTCGTATTGAAGCAACGATACTTTTCGCAAGCAGCAATTTCTTTGTCGTATCTAAGTTTTTCAAAATCTTTCTACTTTGCCGTTATTGCATCAAATTATTATTTCAATTATTTACAGGAGAGATGTACGTATGTATAACACACGTGTGAATAAATTACTTATTATTGCATGATTTACCTTTAGACTACTATAATAGCTACGAAGACTTTCATCGTACTTTTAAAAATTTGCAAACTATGAACACAATTTACTTTCATTTCTATGGAATGCGTAATGCATAATTACAATCATTCAATGCAGCAGATGTGTAGAAAAAGTGATGGACATTTGTATTTTGTCGACGAAAAATTACGTTGTCGAAGAGACAAGGTTGAGAAAGAACTGATGTCTAGCGCTGTTTGTTGTTTTTTGTTTCGTTACTTTACAATATCTTTGTTACTTCACAATCGGAATAAACGTTATTAGACTGTTTAGTGGAATCGTAGGATGTCCATACGAATAATGAGTTCTGTCTTTATTCTTCATTATACTTCACGACGTATAATAACGATTAATCCATATTCACCTGAGTGGGGACGCGTCGGGTGGGGATGTACTTGCGGAAACGGACAGTGGCCTTTCAGTTACTTCTTAATCCAGCGTACCGGATGTACCGATATTAATCTTCGTTGTTTTTTACGTTTCGAACTATTGGCGAGAATGATAATCACGAGTACTGTCAGCCCGGCGTTGAAAATTGGCCTGCAATTTCTCGGCATGTGGCCGAATGTACCGCATTCTACTATCTATTGGCTGAGTTTTATGTTAAGTATGTTGATCATACAGTACTTCCAGTATCTGTATATATTCAACCATTATAATGTCAACGAACTCTTGAATGTCGTTGACGCTCTGACAGCAACTCTAGATTATAGTTTGACATTTTTTAAGTTGATCAGTCTGTGGATACATCGTCGGTAAGATATTGCACTATCACTGTTTAATGATCGCCGTGTTCGAGAAGCAAGATTTCGTACTTTTTAACACATTGTTGATGTGATTTTGTCTGTTTCGAAATTACTTCATATCATTATTTAAACTGTAGCTCGAACCTTGGCGCTTACAGTATTGTAGTCTCGTTCAAAAAAGTGCATTGTTTCCATCTTAATATTTGACGGATTAAATCACATTACAGAGTTCTTCATCAAGTCTTGACTGATATGGAAAATGATTGGCGCGAGTGCATGAATGTTGACCAGCATTCGTGTGTTATGCAAGTCAAAGCCAATATAGCGCATTTTTGTTCCAATGCCATGTTAAGCGTTAACGCAACCGTTTCAGTACTTTATTTCTTAGGGGAATATATAATTGATTTCATCTTTCTAGCTGAAGAGTCCAATGACACTTTGCGACAGTTTCCTGTAAAAACAGAATTTCCTTATGTAACTCAACAATCGCCGTTCTTTGAATTGCTCTTTGCGATATTATTGATACATATAATGTTACATGCAAGCGCGGTCGGGACTGTAAACGGATTGATCTTTACTTTGGTAATTTTCATACTTTATATCTATATTTATTAATTTATGTAACGGAGTGATTTGTGAGACAAAATTATAACACAGATATATATGAAGATATTTAGTGTCACAAGAATTTGATTTCATATTTATTATAACATTTTAATTAGAACACAATCTTTATAGAAAAAAAATTCCTTTTTAGTAAAAAGACTTTTTACAAAAATTTCAGTTTATTTTAGGTGCTTCATGTGAGCGGACAAATCGATATAATGTGTCAAGAATTAAGAAATATTTCTGAGAATATTCTTCTTCAGAGATCTTCCGTACCTTTATTTCGAATGCTGATTGAAAGACACAACAGAATCATTTCATTTTCTGAAAATATTGAGAAACTCTTCTTTTTTATCGCGTTAATGCAAATTGTTTGGAATACATTAGTTATTTGCAGCATAGGATTCGTCTTCATAATTGTAAGTCCTGTAATGAATGTATGAAGATTAGTAATGTGTATTATACTATTTTTATTTCTCTTTTTGTTGTTTATTGAACTAGTTTATTCATAGTGAAACCGGTGTTTTCGTGTTAGTGAAAACCGCTTTTGCTTACTGTGGCATAATGATGGAAGCCTTTATTATTTGTTTTGCTGGAGAATATCTTAGCCACAAGGTAAGTACTTAAAAGTAGTAAAAATTCCATAAAAATATAATTTTTAATAGAATAATTTTATGATGACGAAATTATGAAAAAATAAGGAAGTATGTTCAATAAATAAATTACACAAACACGCCTAAAGTAATAAAACATAAATTTGAATAAAAACATTTTATCAATTTGCACTTAAAATATTATTTAAGATAAACAATTTTTCAAACAAAAATGTTTTGTGTTTCAAAAATGTGTCTATTTCACAAACGTATCGTAATATTTTTCAATGTATTTAATGTCTACAAATGTATTATAAATTATTAAAATACAGCTTTTAATTTGCTGCTTTGTAATCAACGATCAATTGTTTGTCGTTTAAAAATACAAAACATTTTATATCCTGAAAATAGAAGTAGAATAGAATGAATACAAAGTTTTTAAACTTTTTCTCTTTAAATTAATTTTAAATATCGTTTTCTACTTTCCAATTTCTGATTTTAATATGTTTAATGTGCAATAATACTGGAAAAATGTTTATCTATTAAATAAATATAACAAATAAGAGTAACATATGAAAAAATATTTCTAACATTATTTACATGATCTTCAGGGTAAATTAATTGCCAATGCAACATACGATACGTTGTGGTATAATATGCCGTCAAATGAGAGTAAAATTATAATATTCATAATAATGAGATCCCAAAAACGACTAGCAATCACGGCTGGGAAAATGGTGGACATGTCATTTGAAACCTTCTCGAGTGTAATCTTTCAAACCATTCGTACAGAAGGACAAATTTATTTCATTCTTATTAGTACTGTAATTTATAAAAATTATAGTTAATTTTAAAATCTGTTGCGACATTTGTCCTTTTCACATGAATATAATATACCAAACGAAATTAAAAGAAATTTCTCTATTTCAATTTTTGTAGATTGTGAAGGCGTCAGCATCCTATATATCTGTCTTAAATGCTATGTATTGAATGCTATATATCAACATCAAGGTAACTGTCGAAACCGTAGTGTAATTATTACATCTGATGGACACTTGTATGTCAAGAATGAATGAAAAATTAGAACTGTATGAACAAAATATAATAACTATTAGTTATCTTTTATAAAGTGTAAGTTTTAAAATAGATAAATTTCACAAAGCAAAATTATAGTCTATATAAAAGGAATACATGTTTCTTTTTGTTATTATCGATTGAAGACTTTTATATAAAAAGGATACATACTGCGGAGTATGTTGAACATTTAAGCCATTGTATCTTAACTAGAAAGTCATTTGTATTTGCATATGTATAGACATATACAGATCTATTTTATCGTATGTATGTATTTGTAACTAAACATTTACATATCTCCAGTTGTAAACCGTTTGTTACTAGAATATATTCTAAAGGCAAGCATTCTTTCCTTACTTTTCAAACACAATGACATTTCCTGAATTATTGAAAGTAATTATGTCATTGCACAATTCGCCCTTAGTCCAAGAGTTTGTTATTTTCCCCTCACTTTCTTTCTTTAAATATCAGACGTTGAACTGTACGGACACAATTTAATTCCATTCGCTTAGAATGCATAATGTGTAATTATTATCGTCCAGTCGTGCGTTTAATGATTTTTACCACTGCCATGAAGCGCTGTGAGCAGCAATTGCTTGTCGATAGAATTATTTCCAAGGAAATAAAGTTGTAAAAAACTAATGTACAAAAAATTATTCTCTCTTTTCTGCAATATTATCTATGCAATGCCTTTCTTACTTCACGATCAAAGTACACGTTATCTACTTCCGATGTGCACTGTTAACAAAATTATAGGATATTTATTCAAATAATGAGTTCTGTCTGGACCTGTCATTAACTACACAACGTATAATAGCGATTGATCCATATTCTACGTAGAGGGGACGCACCGTGTGGGGATAAACTTGGAGAAACGAACGATGCAGTCTCATTTCCTTCTTGCCTAGAGTACAGAACAAATGTTCTGAAATTGATTTCTTTTCGAATGTTTTCGAAATTATTTGCCAACGATGATTACGAGTACCGTTAGCCCGGCGCTAAAAATTGGCCTTCAGTTTCTTGGCATGTGGCCGGATGTGCCGTATTCTACTATTTATTGGCTGAGTTCCATGGCTAGCATATTGACTGTACAGTGCTTCCAGTATTTGTACATATTTGAACACATGGATATCAGTGAGCTATCAAATCTTGTTGACGGCTTGACTGTGGCTTTTGACTACAGTTTGGCGCTTTTTAAATTAGCCAGTCTGTGGATGCATCGTCGGTAAGATATAATATTGCATTGCATTATTGTCCGACTTTGCTCAATTGTCACATCTGAGAAACAAGATTCTCCTCTAGCTTGTTACATATTGTTGATCAATTTTGCAAAATGAAATATATATAATAGTTCAAATATTGGTGCGTGTAACATCGATATTTCTATGAAAAAAGTGTAATGATTCCTTCTGAAACGTTTGACGGATAATAAAAGTATATTGCAGAGTTCTTCATCAAATCCTTGCTACTATGGATAATGATTGGCGCGATTGCATTAATATTGATCAGCATTTGCATATGATGACAATCAAAGCTAATATATCGCACTTCGTTTCAAATGCTATATTGAGCTTTTCTGCGTTTGTTGCCGTATTTTACATTTTAGGCGAATACGCAATTCGTTTCTTATTTCTAAGCGAATACAATAATACTGAACGGCAACTTCCTGTAAAGATACAATTACCCTTTGACTCACAACAATCGCCGATATTTGAGTTTATCGTTGTAGCACTATTTTTACATGTGCTGTTACAAATCTGCATGTTTTGTACTCTAAATGGATTGATTCTTACTTTGGTAACTCCTCAATTTTACATCTATATTTTCATTCTTTATTAATTTTCTTTTTTAATAACGGACTAATTTGCGACTAAGGTTATAAAGGCCGATACTATCGTATTAAAATCTTTTTTATGTTCGACAGCTTGTAAAATTTTATGTATAAATTCTAATATCTGTGTGAAAATTTTCAAACTGTAATTAATATCAGTGTTAAAATAGATTTATAAATAATTGCATAGAAAACAATTTTTTTTATAGAATTAAATATATTATGTAAGAATATCATGCTTATTTATAATATTCGAAATATATTCTCTATGATGGTAATTTCTATCATGAAATAATTATGATGTTTGCAAACATTGACATATATTTTAGGTATTACATGTTAGCGGACAAATCGATATAATGTGTCATGAGTTTAGAAATATTTCCAAGAGTGCTCTTCTTCATAAATCTACGATATCTTTATTTCAAGTGCAGATCGAGAGGCACAACAGAATTATTTCCTTTTCTGAAAATGTACAGAAACTCTTCTCTTTCATTGCACTGATGCAAGTTGTTTACAGCACCTTGGTCATTTGCTGTCTAGGATTTTTTATAATAATTGTAAGTTCTGTAACAAGTGTGCAATGGTTGATGTTGTATGTGGTATTCATTTTCCTTTTTATTATTCATTAAATTAGTCTATTCATAACGAAAGTGGTATTTTGGTATTAGTGAAAACCATTCTTGCTTATCTTGCTATAATGGTTGAATCCTTCATCATTTGCTTTGCCGGGGAATATCTGAGTTCCAAAGTAAGTATTTGAGTGAGAATTTAAGAAATAATTAATTATATATAAATATAGAGTTATTTTATACTGTATAATGTACAATTGTGACATATAATGCTGGCATAATGATGGAAATATATAACATTGTTTTCTTCGATAATATTGTAACGCCCGGGGGTGCTCATGTGTCGTCTGCACACTTACGTCTGCGCTCACACACTTGGAAATTATCAAACTCGGCTCGTAAGAAAGAAACTTATTTATTCAGAGATTCTGTTACATGGAGTGGAAAGACAATATGCCCGAATGGCTTGTCAGCTCGGCTACCAATTTTCTTGGCAACCGCGTGACAACCGCGTGACAACCGCCGCTCCCTGTTATGGGAGCACTTTGCAACTTCTACTTGATTGAAGCTCGATTTGGCTCAATCCAAAGAGCAATGTCATATGGGCGTCACAATATTTTAATACATTGCAGTACATAAAATAATATCTAAAATACGTAACTTTTTATTTCACAAAGATATGTTTTCTACAAATATATTATAACCTAACGTCAATATAATAAGAGATTTCTGAAATTGTAGAATGTTTGTTAGTTTTATTAGAAGTATGTAATATTTATATATTTTTAAATTAATAGTTGAATAAGAAATTTCTAATTTTACAATCTTTTTGTATTCTTCCTTTATACTTTCTTGTTTCTCTTCATTATTTTCTATATATTCTAATCTTTACAAAATTAGTCTAATACATCGGCATTAACTTTAAAGAAGCTTTATATTTTAAATAAGCGGAATAAGTAAGTGTAATTAAGGAAAAAGGTTTTTACATTTGACACAATTTGTTTTTAGGGTAAACTAATTGCCAATGCAACATACGACACGCTGTGGTATGATATGCCATCACATCATAGTAAAATTATAATATTCATAATAATGAGATCTCAGAAACGATTGGCAATCACGGCAGGGAAAATGATGGATATGTCATTCGAAGCTTTCTCGAGTGTAATATTTTAAATTCTTTGTACTGAAGAATAAGTTTATTTTGCACTTATTAATACTTTACTTTATCAAATTTATAATTAATTTAAGAATCTGTTGCGAAATGTATTCTACTGCATGGTAAAAACTTAATTTCTTAATTTCTATTTTTCTAGATCGTGAAGGCATCAGCATCATATATCTCTGTCTTGAATGCTATGTATTGATATTATTATAAAGGTAGTTGCTGAAATTGTAGTGTAACAAATTCAAGATTAGATAAATATGACAAACGTATTAAGAATAAATGAAGAGTTAGTGAATTGTTAACAAAATATAACGATCATTTATCTTCTTATATTTATGAGTGTAAATAATAAAATATAGATAATAAATTTTACAAAATAAAATTACACTCAATGTGAACGTTGGAATTAACTTTTTTCTTTGTATTGTTGTTAATTGTATACTTTTGAACAAAAAGGATATATAACTGTGAAGTGCGCCAATGTTTAAGCTATTGAATCTAGATTAGAAAATTGCATGTGCATACGTACAGTTGCCTAGGTACGTATAGGTACATTTCATCGCGTGCATAACTAAACGTCTGCATATTCCCAATTGCAAATTTCTTGTTATTGGAATATATTCCACGCACATGCAAGTACCTATTGCACAATGATATTTCCTGAATTATTACAAGTAATTACGTCATTATATAATTTCGTTCTTAGTCTAAAAGTTGATTACTCTCCCCTCACTTTATTTCTTTAAAAACCAGAGGTCGAACTGCACGAATCAATTTAATTTCATTCACTTAGAATACCTAATGTGTAATTACCATGTCGTGCGTTTAATGATTTTCATGACTGCTGTGCAACTCAGTGGGCATCTCTTGCCTGTCGATAGAATTATTCCCGAGAAAATAAAGTTGCAAAAAATGCACAAAAAAATATTTCCTCTTTCCTGCCATTTTCTCTATACAATGTCGTAATCGAAGTACACGGTATCTGCTTCCGACATACGCTATTAATGAAATTATAGGATATTTATTCAAATAATGAGTTCTCTCTAGACTTACCATTATACTACACAATGTATAATAGCGATTGATCCGTACCAGTTGGAGTGGGGACACACCGCATGTGGGGGTTGCACTTGGAGAAACGGACGATGCTCTCTTATTTCTTTCTCAACTAGAGTACGGAACAAGTGTGCTGAGACTGATGTCTATTTTCTTACGTTTTTAAAATTATTTCCAAATGATAATCACATCTACTGTAAGCCCAGCTCTAAGAGCTGGCCTTCATTTTCTTGGCATGTGGCCGAGTGATTCGTCTACTATTCATTGGCTGAGTTTTATGCTGAGCATGTTGATTGTACAATACTTCCAATATGTGTATACATTTGGTCACTTGAAGATGAGTGAGTTGTCAAATCTCGTCGACTGTCTGATAGTGTCTCTAGATTATAGTTTGACGTTATTCAAAATGGCCAGTTTGTGGATACATCGTCGGTAAGATTATATTATATGTATAATGTGGACCGATTGAACTTTGGTCTGTAACCCTTTGGTCTGTGTTTAAGAAATAACATATATTCTCTCTTTGTTTTTCAACATTTATTGATCCAATTTTTCGTAATCGAAATATCATTCATAATTTAGCTCGAACACTGAAAACTATTAGTTGTATTCTCATAAAAGAAAGTAAATAACGCATCTATGAAACATGTGAAGAATTAAAGTAACGTATTCCAGAATTTTTCATAAAATCCTGGCCGATATGGATAATGATTGGCGCGAGTGCATCAATATCCATCAGCATTTACATATGATGACAATCAAAGCTAATATATCGCATTTCATCTCTAATACTTTAATAAGTTTTAATGGAATTGTTGCAGTCCTTTACCTTTTAGGCGACTACGTAATTCATTCCGTATTCTTAACTACAGATTACAATGACACATTACGACAGCTTCCTATAAAGATACAATTGCCCTTTGAAACACAACAATCGCCGATATTCGAATGTCTCGTTGTAACATTGGTTTTACATGTGACAATGCATGCATGTACAATCGCTATTCTAAATGCATTAATCTTGACTGTGGTAATTTATATTTGTACATATTTATTAATGTTTTAATGGTTTATTATGTAACCAATTTATCTGTATCGTACAGTTGCAAAATATAATTCTATTAAAATTGTTCTCCACATTTATTATACAATTTTAGAACTGTTACATTTTGTAAAAAGTTTTTAAATATAATCAATGCCTGTGTTGGAAAAGATTTCCAATTATCTTTATACGATAAATTTTTTCGTAATTAAATATATCATTTACAAATTTTATTTTTACTGTATTATTTTATGTAAAATACATGTTATTAAAAAAAATTGTTATCACACAATAATTATAATTTTAATACAATTTGCAAAAAACTTAAATATTTTAGGTGTTTCACGTAAGCGGACAAATTGATATAATGTGTCATGAATTTAAAAATATTTCTAAGAGTGCTCTTCATAAATCTTCCGAAAACTTATTTGGAATGCTGATAGAGAGGCATAATAGAATTATTTTGTTTTCCAAGAACATTGAATCGCTTTTCTCTTTCATTGCTTTGATGCAAGTTGTTTGGAATACGTTAGTTATTTGTTGTCTAGGATTTGTCGTTATAATTGTAAGTACTGTAATAAATGCGCGATGATTGGTATTAAATATATTATAAATTTTCTTTCATAATTTGGATTAGTCTATTCATAACGAAGCTGGAGTTTTCGTGATAGTCAAAACTGTCTCTGGTTACTTTGTTGTAATGACTGAAGCCTTTGTCATTTGCTTTGCCGGAGAATATCTTAGCTTGAAGGTAAATGTTTGAAATGATTAATTGTATATACACAATTTTTTAATAATACAATTACATTGATGTAATCATTTAATTACATTGATGTAATCATTTAATTATTATTAAATGATAAAAGTATATAAATTAGTTTTTCGAGAAAAAAGTTTCAATATCTTGCAATACATAAAATATCTTTTTCTATAAAAATATAATCAATTTTTTTAATTGTATAAGTGTTTCTTATTCCAAAAATACATTTAGAAGAAGAATGTATCTTTATACTAAAGACAACAGATTTGTTATAACATCTTCAAAATTGCATGCTCGTCAAACAAACTTTTATTTAATGTAAAATTCCAAAAGTACAAATAGAAATAAAAATAAATAATGAAGAATTTCTAATATTGTTGTTAAAATGTATTTCCAATTTTGACGTAATTTTTAAATTAGGGTTAAAAATTTGATTTGACTATTTATGCTTTCAGAGTAAATTAATTGGCAACGCGATATATGAAACGATGTGGTATGATATGCCGGCAGATCAAAGTAAAATTATAGTATTCATAATAATGAGATGTCAGAAGCAATTAACAATTACAGCAGGAAAGATGATGGATATGTCATTCGGAACTTTTACAAGTGTAATGTCCCAAATCTTTCGAATCTTTACTTATTGACAGATAATTTTATTTTATTTATGATTATTTAATTTTAGATGTTGCGACATGTGTTTTATAAGAAGAAATATAATTTGTAAGTCTAATTTAATTCCTTTACGTATTTTTTAGATTATGAAGGCATCAGCATCGTATATATCAGTTTTGAATGCTGTGTATTAAAATAAAGAAAATCGCGCTATACACATTTGCCAAAAGGATAACATAATTAATGTCAACCATTAAGTTAAAATATACTGACAATGAAAAAATGAATAAATGTCATGTATTAACAATAAAAAAATTATACAAATTAAAATTGCATTTAAAGTAATTTCACATATATTTTTTTGTGTATTATTATTATTTTAAGTTAACATATATAATTGTGTATGTTACAGTTATAGTTTGCTTCGAACGTTTCAATTATTGATCTTTTATTATAGGATTACACATTTATCTGTACACTTGTTTTATTGCATTAGTCATTAAACATTTATAATGTCCTCAATTGCAAACTTATTATTTTTGAAATTCATGTCATAAACAGTTTTGTAATACCTCCTGTATTACTAAAAGAAATTATTCGCCATTACACGAATTGTCTTCAGTCAGTTGTTTCATTTTCCGCTTATCATATTTCTTCGGAGACCAGAAGTTGAATCGCAGGAATACAACTTGGTTTCATTTACTTAAAATATTTAACGCATAATCGTTCTGTCGAGCATTCTACGATTTTCACAATTAGGAGGAAACACGATGGACGTTTGTTTCTTATCAAGGTAGTTCCGTTATAAAACAGACAAGTTTGCAAAAAAAAAAATTAATGCATAGCAAGCTGTTTTTTTCCTGTTACTTTAGCTATACATTATCGTTGTTATTTCTCGGTCGAAGTACACATGGTAAGACAATTTGTGGAATTATGATATATTCAAATCATGAGTTATGGTTCAGCTTATCATGTCAGAGTGCACCGTTACAGTACATATAATGGCGATTGATTCGTACCTACTTGAGTGGGGATGCCCTGTGTGGGGATACACCTGCAGAAACGGTGTACCTCATTTCCTCCTCAACTAGAGTATCGAACAAATGTGCAAACGCTGATCTTCTGTTTTTTTTTACATTTTAAAAACTACTGGCAAATGATCACGAGTACTGTCAGCCCGGTGCTGAAATTTGGCCTTCGATTTCTCGGCATCTGGCCGGATGCCTCTGTGTATTCTAATGTTTACTGGTTTAGTTTTATGATAAGCATATTGATGGTACAGTATTTCCAGTATTTATACATTTTTCAACACTTGAAGATCAGCGAGCTCTCGAATCTTATTGATTGTTTGATTGTGACTTTAGATTATAGTTTGACAGTTTTTAAATTGATTGGTTTGTGGATACAACGTCGGTAAGATATTTTGCTACATGTAATTGTTTGACTTTTCTCAATCACAGCATCAGAACAAAGTTTCTTTCAGTTTCTTAACATTCTGATGATTTTAATTAATGTGTAACTGGAAGCGATTTAATAGCGTCATCTAAACTTTAGTAAAAATGTTAATGCATACAACAACGTTGGTGGTTTCTTGGAAAAATAAAAAAATTTCTTTTTAAATATTTGATAAATGAAAATAACATATTGCAGAGTTTTTCATCAAATCCTGGCCGACATGGATAATGATTGGCGCGAGTGTATCAATACCGAGCATTTATCTGTGATGACAATTAAAGCGAATATATCGCATTTCATCTGTAATGCTTTATTTGGTATTAATACGTTTATTGGAGCACTTTACCTTTTAGGCGACTACGTAATTCATTTTGTACTTTTAACTGAAGACTACAACGTTACTTTGCGACAGCTTCCCATAAAATTACAACTACCTTTTGAAACTCAACGCTCGCCGATATTTGAACTTCTCATTATAGCAATATTTGTACAAGTGATGCTACATGTGTGCACGTTTTGTACTCTGAATGGATTGATTCTCACTTTGGTAATTCTTATATTTTATATCAATATTGTAATTGTGTATTAATTTTTTTTACAATGGCGCAATTTGGACGCAAGTTAGAAGTACTAATACGGTTGCATGAAAAATTCATTTTAAACAATTTGCAAAATTTTATTATATACAAATTGTTACATTTCTGTGTAAGAAATATCAAAATTTAATTATTGCGAGTGTTAAAATACATTTACAAATAGTTATAACAAGAACAAATTTTTTACGTAGTAAATTATATTATATAAGAATATTATGTTTATTTATATATAACATGCAAAACACATTTTTTAAAGCGATAATAATTTTATAGAATTGTGCTTGTAAAAATTTAAACATATTTTAGGTGCTACACGTCAGTGGACAAATAGATATAATGTGTCATGAGTTAAAGAATGTTTCTAAAAATGCTCTTTTTCATGAATCTACGTTGTCTTTATTTCAAGTGCAGATCGAGAGACATAAAAAAATTATTTCATTTTCCAAGAACATTGAATCACTTTTCTCCTTTTTTGCGTTCATGCAAGTTTTTTGGAATACATTAGTTATTTGTTGTTTAGGGTTTATAATCATATTTGTAAGTATTATAATATGTGAACAATGATTGTGTATTAATTTTTATTGACATCATATATGTATATTGAATTTTCTTTTTGTAATATGTTAAATTAGTCTATTCATAACAAAACTGGGACTTTCGTATTAATAAAAACTAGTTCTGGTTATTTCGTTGCAATGACTGAAGCCTTTATTATTTGTTTTGCCGGAGAATATCTTAGCATGAAGGTAAATATTTGAAATAAGTATTCTCGTACAGATAATTTTTGATAATCTAATTATAGTGACGTAATGATAAAAATACATAACATTTCGAAAAATATTTCAAAATCTTTCAATAGATTAAATATTAGTTAATATATAATATTATAATATTTAATTTTTTAAATATGAGTATTCCTTATTTAAAAAAATACTTTACAAAAATATAATGTATCTTTACATAAAAACAGCATATTTGTTATGAGATCTTCAAAATATGTTCGTTATTCAACCCTGTATTTAATATAAAAGAATTCCAAAAGTAAAAATAGAAATAGGAATAAGTAAAAATTTCGAATATTATTACAATGTCTTTCCAATGTTGACATACTTAATATTTTGAATAATGTTTGACAGAAACTTTACCTTTGTGAAATAAAATTGAAAAGTAAGAATAAACTTTAATGAAGCCGCTGCATTTGACACTATGTATTTTTTTTAGGGTAAATTAATTGCTAATGCTATATACGAAATGATGTGGTATGACATGCTGTCAAGTCAAAGTAAAATTATAATATTCATAATAATGAGATGTCAGAAGCGATTGACGATTACGGCAGGCAAAATGATGGATATGTCATTCGAAACTTTTACAAGTGTAATCTTTTAAATCTTTTGAGTACTTACTTATTAACAGACAAGTTTGCTTTATACCTATTTAATTTTGGATTTGCCGCATGCTTTTATGGATAAATATAACTTGTAAATTTAATTTAATTCCTTGTACCTTTTTAGATTATAAAGGCATCAGCATCATACATATCCGTTTTGAATGCTATGTATTGACACAAAGAAGACTGCAATATACAAATTTGCTAAAATGAAAACGTAGTTAATGTAAATCAATAAGCAAAAGCATACTGACAGTGAAAGAACTTAATTTATTAACAAATTTGTAAATGTCGATTATTAAAAGTTTGTAAATTATACGAACAGAAATCGTATTTAATATAACTGCAAATAATTTTTTAGTGTATTATTATTTGGTTAATGTATAATTTTAAGTTACTATATGTATAATTTGCGTTGGACACAGTTTGCGTCCAACGTTTTAAATATTGATCCTTTATAAAAGCATCAGTAATCAAACATTTTTTATATTCTCAATTGTACATTTATTATTTTTGAAATTTATTACTTAAACCGGTTTGTGTTACACGTATTCGGTCTTACCAAGTATATTTCAAAGTGTATAGACATATTTAAAACCTATAACATCTCGAACTGGAAACTTTTTACTTGCAAAGTTTCTTCCCCAGCGAGTTTTTTTGCTTCCCGGAATCATTAAATAAAATTATCCATCATTATACTTTCTATTCAAAGATCTCTCCCTTTACATTATCTTCTCCAAAACTTAAGGTTAAACTGCACGAACGTAATGCAGTTCCGTTTGCTCAGAATATTTAATATATAATTACTGATGTTCCTCTATAGGTTTAATGGTTTTTGCAGTATAGACCACATAACGGGCATTTGTTTCTTTTCGATGGAATCGCGTTGCCAAGAGACAAGTGTGTAAAAAAATGGAACTGACAATTTCGCATCGAGTTTTTCACTTCACGTTGAAGTTTCATATATTTCTTACTTGGCGGGTATTATACGCTCTTAGACTACCAATAGAATTACAGAATGTTCACATAAATAATGAGCTCTATCTCGATTTGCTGTTGTACTACGCATAATGACGATTGATCCATACTTACTCGAGTGGGGATGCACTGCGTGGGGTTACATTTGATGAAACTGTTGACGCTCTTTTAGTTCTTTCTCAAACCAGAGTGCCGGTTACATGTGCCAACGCTGATCTTTATTTCACCACAATCTCGATATTGTTTACGAATGATACTCATGACTACCGTCAGTCCAGTGCTGAGGATCGGCCTTGGATTGCTGGATGTGTGGCCTGGTGTCTCGTATTCCATTCCCTATTGGCTAATTTATATACTTAGCATACTGACCATACAGTATTTTCAATATCGATACGTATTCGAGCACTTGGAGATCAGTGAGCTTTCGAATCTCATTGACAGCTTACCCGCAGCTTTAGACTACAGCTTGACGATTTTGAAATTAATCAGTCTTTGGATGCACCGTCGGTAAGATGTTATGTCGCTGCAAATGTTAGTTTCAATTTTCAACCTCGCCCTGTTTGAGACAAGAACAAATTATGTTGTACATTAATATATTAATTTTTTAAATATATAGCGTTAGTCAAATGTTTTATAAATGAAATTGATCTTAATTCAGTTTAATCTTAAATCTTAATTCGAGTAACAATTTTTAGAGGTTTGTATAGACAATTCCTGTCGCAATATCTGTTAAATTAAAGAAACATATTGTAGAGTCATTTATCAACTAGTGACTGCTATGGATAACGATTGGCGCGAATGCGTCGGTAGTGATCAGCATTTGTATGTGATGACAATCAAAGCCAATATATCGCATTGGTGTTCTAAAGTTATGTTAAGCGTTAATGTAATTACTGCGGCATTTTATCTTTTGGGCGAATACGCAATTCGTTTTGTTTATCTATCTGGAGATTACAATGATACCTTTCGGCAGTTTCCAATCAAGGTACAATTTCCCTTCGAAACTCAACAATCACCGATTTTTGAGCTGCTGGCTGTAACTCTATTTCTACATATGATGTTAAATACATGCACGCTCGCTATTGTGAACGCATTAATTTCTACTTTAGTAAGTGTCTCATCGTATAAATTATTGTAATTGGTATATTAGACTAATAGATCATAAATATTAATACTTTCTCACAAATGTTTAACAGCATATGATGTCACTATAGTATCAAGTGAAAGTATCAAGATTACATTTAGTTTGATAAAAAACTCGGTTACATACAAATCATGATATATCACACAAACGTAACTTAATATAAGATTTGATATCACTGAAAAAATTTAATATAGTTAGTTAATTCAATATCGCTTATAAACTGATACTTTTAATATTTGACAACTTGTGGAGATTTAGATATATGAATATTCACACAATAATTATAGTTTTAATACAATTTACAAAAACTTAAATATATTTTAGGTGCTTCACGTAAGCGGACAAATTGATATAATGTGTCATGAATTTAAAAATATTTCTAAGAGTGTTCTTCACAAATCTTCCGCAAACTTAATTGGAATGCTGGTAGAGAGGCATAATAGAATTATTTTGTTTTCCAAGAACATTGAATCGCTTTTCTCTTTCATTGCTTTGATGCAAGTTGTTTGGAATACGTTACTTATTTGTTGTCTAGGATTTGTCATTATAATTGTAAGTACTGTAATAAATGCGTGATGATTGGTATTAAATATGTTATAAATTTTTTTTCTATAATTTGGATTAGTCTATTCATAACAAAGCTGGAGTTTTCGTGATAGTCAAAAGTGCCACTGGTTACTTTGCTGTAATGACTGAAGCCTTTGTCATTTGCTTTGCCGGAGAATATCTTAGCTTGAAGGTAAATGTTTGAAATGATTAATTTGTATAGACACAATTTTTTAATAATACAATTACATTGATGTAATGATAAAAGTATATAAATTAGTTTTTCGAGAAAAATGTTTCAATATCTTGCAATACATAATATATCTTTTTCTATAAAAATATAATAAATTTTTTAAATTGTATAAGTGTTTCTTATTCCAAAAAATACTTTTAGAAAATGAATGTATCTTTATACTAAAGACAACATATTTGTTATAAGATCTTCAAAATTGCATGTTCGTCAATCAAACTTTTATTTAATGTAAAAGTTTCTAAAAATACAAATAGAAATAAAAACAATTAATGAAGAATTTCTAATATTGTTATTAAAATATATTTCCAATTTTGACGTAATTTTTAAATTAGGGTTAAAAATTTGATTTGACTATTTATGCTTTCAGATTAAATTAATTGGCAACGCGATATATGAAACGATGTGGTATGATATGCCGGTAGATCAAAGTAAAATTATAGTATTAATAATAATGAGATGTCAGAAGCGATTGACGATTACGGCAGGCAAAATGATGGATATGTCATTCGAAACTTTTACAAGTGTAAACTTTTAAATCTTTTGAGTACTTACTAATCAACAGACAAGTTTGCTTTATACCTATTTAATTTTGGATTTGCCGCATGCTTTTGTGGATAAATGTAACTTGTAAATTTAATTTAATTTGTTGTACCTTTTTAGATTATAAAGGCGTCAGCATCATACATATCCGTTTTGAATGCTATGTATTGACACAAAGAAGACTGCCATATACAAATTTGCTAAAATGAAAATCTAGTTAATGTAAATTAATAAGCAAAAGTATAGTGACAGTGAAAGAACTTAATTTATTAACAAATTTGTAAATGTCGATTATTAAAAATTTGTAAATTATACGAACAGAAATCGTATTTAATATAACTGCAAATAATTTTTTCGTATATTATTATTTGGTTAATGTATAATTTTAATGTATAATTTTAAGTTACTATATGTACAATTTGCGTTGGACGCAGTTTGCGTCCAACGTTTTAAATATTGATCCTTTATAAAAGCATCAGTAATCAAACATTTTGCTTCCTTATAGAGGAAGCTTTTTTATATCCCCAATTGTACATTTATTATTTTTGAAATTTATTACTTAAACCGGTTTTGCATTATAATACTTCCTGCATTATTGAAAGAAATTATTCGCTATTACACTATTTGACTTCAGTCAGTAGTTTTCTTTTCCTCTCATACTTCTTCGAAGACAAGAAGTTAAACTATACGGACACAATTTGGTTTCATTTGCTTAGAATATTCAATGTGTAATTACCGTGCATTTAATGATTTTTGCAATTTGTAAAGAGAAAGGAATAGACATTTGTCGATATAATTGTCAAGGAGGCAAGGTTGCAAAAAAGCTGATGTGCAGCAAACTGTCTTTTTCTTCTACTTTAGTTACACATTATCGTTGCATTTCCCGATCGAAGCATACAATGTAAGATCGTTCATGGAATTGTGGTATATTCAAATAATTAGTTCTGTCTCAACTTGTCATAGTACTCCGTCATTGTACGTATAATAGCAATTGATTTATGTTCACTTGAGTGGGGACGCACCGTGTGGGGATACACTTGGAGAAAATATTCCTCACTTCCTTCTCAACTAAACTATCGGATAAATGTGCAAATACTGATCTTTCTTTCCTCACGTTTTAAAAACCGCTGGCAAATGATAACTGCAAGTACTGTCAGTCCCGTAGTGAAAGTTGGCCTCCGATGTCTTGGTATTTGGCCGAATGTTTCATATTCTATTGTTCACTGGCTGAGTTTTATGTCAAGCATATTATTTGTGCAGTACTTCCAGTATTTATACATTTTCGAACACTTAAGGATCAGCGAGCTCTCGAATCTCATTGATGGTTTGACTGTGACTTTAGATTACAGTTTATCGTTTTTTAAGTTGATCGGCTTATGGATGCATCGTCGGTAAGATATTCTTTTCATGTAATTCAACGGTGTTAAATTGTCTTAAATGTATTTGAGAGACAAAATTTTCTCTTAGTTCTTTTACATTTTGTTAATCCTATTTACTTTATAACTGCAAGTGATTTAATATCATCATCTAAACGTTAACTCGAATGTTGATGCATACAATGTTGATGGTTTCTTGGAAGAAATTAAAATGTTTCTATTAGAAACAAATATCTAAACGAAAATAACGTATTGCAGAATTTTTCATAAAATCCTGGCCGATATGGATAACGATTGGCGTGAGTGCATCAATATCGATCAGCATTTAAATATGATGACAATCAAAACAAATATATCGCATTTTATTTGTAATGCTATGTTCAGTTTTAATGCGATCGTTGCTGTTTTTTTCCTCTTAGGCGACTACATAATTCGTTTTGCATTTCTAACCGAAGCTTACAACGTTACTTTACGACAGTTTCCTATAAAGATACAATTTCCTTTTGAAACGCAACAATCGCCCGTGTTTGAGTTCCTTCTTGTATCAATATTTTTACATGTGATGTTACATGTGTGCACGATGTCTATTATAAATGGATTGATTCTTACTTTGGTAACTCTTATCTTCTATATTTTATATTTTAATTGTATATTTATTTTGTATCTAACAGAGCAATTTACATTGCAGACTTACTTAATGCTAGTGTTAATTTTGGAAGAATGAATTTATACAAGACAAAATTGTTTATGCAATCAAATATATTTTGCAATTAATTTATGCAATTAATATTTGTATACATATATATTACGTTTATTGAATGTACTTGGAAAATATTCTTTATAGCTATAATCTTTTTTTATATGTAATTATTAAGATGTGTACAAAAATTTATTACATTTTAGGTGCTGCATGTTAGTGGACAAATTGATATAATATGCCATGAATTTAAAAATGTTTCAAAAAATTCTCTTCTTAATGAATCTGCACTGTCTTTATTTCAAGTGCAGATTGAAAGACACAATAAAATTATTTCATTTTCCGAGAATGTCGAGAAACTCTTTTCTTTTATATCCTTGATGCAAGTTTTTTGGAATACCTTAGTTATTTGCTGTCTAGGATTTTTTCTCATAATTGTAAGTTCTATAATAAATGCACAAAGATTGATATCACATATATTATTCATTTTTCTCTTTATTATTTATTCCATTAGTCCTTTCATAACGAAAATGGTGTTTTCGTGTTATTGAAAACCATGCTTTCTTACTTCGGCATAATGACTGAAGTGTTTATCATTTGCTTTGCCGGAGAACATCTTATTTTTAAAGTAAGTATATAAATGAGTATTCATGAAATTGTTAACTATACAAATATTTTTCAGTATTTAATAATTTTGTTGAGATAACGATGGAAATATATAACATTGCTTTTTTAACAATATTTTAATATATGTATAATTAAAAAATTGAAAATTATTTGTCAGTTATTTTATATAAAATAGAAATTTGTGACATTTTATATTAAAAAAATAGTAATAGAAATTGATGAACAAATAATTACTATTTTAATTTTTTCTCTTTATTACTTTTCCTCTACACTTTTCGTATTATTGTTATTTTTTTCTATTTTATAACATTTATAATATTCTTACAATATTAGAAATAGTATTTAAAAGCTTTCTCTATTAAATAAGTAACACAAATATACATTTAATATACACATATAAAATAGCGCTGGGTATTCAACACTGTTTGTTTTCAGAGTAAATTAATTTCTAATGCAATATATGAAACAATGTGGTATAATATGCCGTCACGCCAAAGTAAAATTATAATATTCATAATAATGAGATCTCAGAAGCGATTGGCAATTACAGCAGGAAAAATGATGGATATGTCTTTCGAAACTTTTACGAATGTAATCTTTTAAATCTTTTACATATCTAGTTTTTAAGAAGTATCTTCATTTTATGGCTAATCAATTAATTAGCTACACGTGTTATTTATGCATAAAAATAATTTGTACCTCAAATAGAATTTCTCTTTTTCAGATCATGAAAGCATCAGTATCGTACATATCCGTTTTAAACGCTTTGTCTTGATAACATATAAAACGTTATACAGGGTGTC